GGTAGATTACTCTGTATATGTGTGAAGGGTGGGTTACCCCACGGCACTTATGCCTCACTAGGCCTATTGTGCATCCTTCCAAAGCACCTCCTAGCTCGTGAGCCAGCCTACAGATTTAATGTAGTTAACAAGAGTGTTTCTTTTATATCGGCCGGTGTTAGCCGATACTCTAATAAATGATAGCGTCGAGCAATCGTAGAGAATATGCTCGATGATCTCTTCATCTGTTTGCACCCATGCAGAGTTCAAATTCTGACAACCTCATGATATGGAGATGCTTCCGTACTTGGCAATGACCAGTCAGAATGCGTGTGACCAAGCGCAGATTTGGTCTAGTATTTGTTTGCTGCAGTTTTATCAAGATAACTTAAAAGCTCTCTGGCAACTCAACATATTTCTTTGAATTTCACAAGGGAATATTATTTCATTAGGTCTGTCACTACCGATTTTGTCGCCAATAGAACAGCCAGGTCCAAAACAAAATTTTCTTGGTTGCTTTCTTGACCAGTGAATCACTAAGACCTTTCGATGTGGCGTGACCTTTCATTTATGTTATGGTGACCACATTGTTGATGGGATACTTCGGCCAAATCGTCGTGACATTTGTAACGTTATAAATAACGTTTCAGTTTTATTTCCGCAATATTACCTACATTTAATAAATACTCCCTGGGAAAAATATTTCGTCATGCCGCTGGTGCAAATATCTCGTTTGTGTTCAACCATCCCACCGATCGTTCGTAAAATCAATAAATTGGATTTTGCGCATGATCGGACAATGCAATTTACCTTTTAAGGCAGCTTACTGAATATTCTCGTCCTTTCCGTGGTGTGACTTCGAAATATTAACTTTAGTCCATATCTCATTGTTTTTGTGAATGCTTGGCTTGATCGATGACAAAAGGTAATTATTTAATATATTTGATTATTTAGAACTGTTTCATCAGTGAGTACAGGTTCAATATTTCGGTTGTAGATTATTACGTGAGTTCCACGAATTGATGTGGGTTAAAATGTTTTTTTTTTATATACTTTATGCCATTAAAAGTGAGTATCTTAATTTTTTATACAGGGTGTCTGTAAAAGGTCTTTACAAAAACATACGACATATTCCTTAGACCAAAATAAGTCGATTTAAGTAAAATTACCTTAGTACAAAGTTGCTTCGTTTGGGCTCCAGAGGGCCTTGAAGTTACAATTTTTAAATCGTTTTTCCCATATAAATTTAAAACTACATATGCGATTTTGCTGAAATTGGGTATATTGATAGAGTTTTATGTGACAAAAAAAATGGTATTAAAATTTTGTCTGATAATAATACATAGGCGTAGAACGTGATTTTTTTAAATAATTGCACCTTTAAAAATTCTACGCCAATGGAAGAAAAGGAGTTTGAGTATGAAACTTAGATTGCGTTAAAAAAGGTACTCTTGATAAGACTCGATTACTCTCATGGTTTTCGCTAAATTTCTGTTTTAATAATTTAGAGTGTAAAGGTTTCACAAAAATATATATTTACAACATAATCAAAATAGAGATTTTACAAAAATTGTTCAAAATGTTCACCATTTTCACGCATACAAAGATTTACACGTCGAAGAAAATTAAAATGTATCCTTTCCATAACTTCTTCATCACCTCTAAGATTGTTTATTGCATCTTGAATACGTTGCCAGAGTTGTTCCACATTTTCTACAGGTTCCCTGTAAACTGTGGATTTTAGATGTCCCCATAAAAAGTAATCCATCGGTGTTAGGTCTGGGGAACGTGGTGTGCAGTTTACAGGTGCGTCATTACCTCTGCCTATCCATTTGTGTGGATATTGTTCATTCAAGTGGTTTCTAACGTTTAAAGAAAAATGTGGTGGAACTCCATCTTGCATAAACCACATATCTCTCCGAAGTTGGAGAGGTAAATCTTCCAACAATTCTGGCAACGTATTTTGTAGAAAATCCAAATAATTTTCTCCAGTTAATCTTCGTGGGAGTATGACAGGACCAACAATGAAATTACCAATTATTCCAGCTCACACATTAATTTTGAATTCGTGCTGAAAATGATTTACCTTTATTGCATGCGGATTTTCGACGTCATAAACATGTTCATTATGAGTATTAGTTATACCTCTTCTTGTAAAACCCGCTTCATCGGTAAAGAGAACCTTCTTGACAAAGTTTGGATCTCTTTCTATTTGCATATTAACAAATCGACAAAAACCCAAACGAATTTGAGGATCATGGACTAATAATTCTTGTACTGGCTTCTTATGGTATGGATATAGCAATTGTTCTCTAAGCACTTTATGAACGACATCTTTACTTACTCCTAGTTCCCTTCCAATTCGTCTGGTGCTTAATTCTGGATCTTCTTCAACACGTTCTAAAATGTCTTCTTCAACTTCAGGAATCCTTATAAAACGTTCTCTTCTATTATCAACAGTGTTGGGAGCAAAGGAACCGGTCTCACGAAAACGTCTCTCAACAGCAGCAAAAGTTGGGTGGCTAGGTATACGACGATTTGGAAACCTTTCAGAGTACACCCTGATACTCTCTCGAGCAGCATTTCCTTCACAAAATCCTAATGTCAGTAACATATCGGTATATTCTGCATTGGTATATTGTACAACCATATTAATAAACCATGCATTTGTTTTTTTAATTATTGAGTCAAATAGAACACTTTCAATCGTTAACAAGAGATTAGGTGTTAAAACTTGACAATATTTTTATTTAGATGAAACTATGGAAACCAACAATAAATGTTTTTGTATACGTATTGCAGGAAAATAATTAATATTCCTCAAAAAATCGTACATGACAAGAATCGAGTATTGTTGTTAAAAGTCTCGATTACAGGTGTTGAAGAAGATATGAAAAAAGTACATTTTTATGCTTTTCATCGTATAAAATTTTGTCTGATAATAATACATAGGCGTAGAACTTTTTTAAATAATTGCACCTTTAAAAATTCTACGCCAATGGCAAAAAAGGGGTTTGAGTATGAAATTTGGATTGGGTACTCATTTACTACAAAAAAGTACCCTTGATAACACTCGATTTACTCTCATGGTTTTGACAAAGTTTGTATTTTAATAATTATTGTTTATGTTCTAAAATTACGAAAATGCAAATTTCGTCAAAACCATGATAGTAATCGAGTCTTATCAAGAGTACCTTTTTTAAAGTAAATGAGTTGCGCAATCTAAATTTCATACTCAAACTCCTTTTCTTTCATTGGCGTAGAATTTTTATAGGTGCAATTATTTAAAAAATCAAGTTCTACGCCTATGTATCATTATCGGACAAAATTTTAATACCATTTTTTTTGCCACATAAAACTCTACCAATATACCAAATTTCAGCAAAATCGCATATGTCGTTTTAAATTTATATGGGAAAAACGATTTAAAAATTGTAACTTCAAGGCCCCCTGGTGCCCAAACGAAGCAACTTTGTACAAAAGTAATTTTACTTAAATCGACTTATTTTGGTCTAAGGAATATGTGGTATGTTTTTGTAAAGACCTTTTACAGGCACCCTGTATATCTAGTTTTTTTTGTTTTTTTCCATCTTTTAACAATACTGAATACTGTTGCGAATCTAATCAATCGCTGCAATTTTAATAATTTTTCTATATTAAATGTTTTTTTTTGTGCTGCAATTTTAATAATTGTTGTATTTTAAAAGTACTTATTTTTCACTTTCTTTTGTGTAAGAGATGGAAAGGTTTTTTTTTATTAGTGAAACACCGTTTTTTTTTCTTTATTAGAAGAGGAGAGGCCTATATTAAGAGAGCCTATATGAAAAGACGAGAGGCCTATATGTACAAGGGAAGAGGTGACCGGCTTATATCTAAAGAAGTGTGCGGCCTATATTTTAAGAAGAGGGTGGCAAATACATAAAGATATCTTCCCAGCAATTGAGCCGTGCAAAAAGAGATACCGCCCAGGAGAAGGTGGATACCAGAGAAAGTCTCCAGGGGAAAATAACTTTTCACTAATGGTCCAGTCAAGGCCATAGCTCTTTGACCGTTAACCCAAGCCAGCTAAGTGCCAGCCAGAAATCCAAGCATTTGTTTAACCAAAGAATCACTACTATCTTTTAATTTATTGAGATTTAAAGTAACCATTTATTATTTCGATATAACTCTTTCACTCAAAAAATTATTAAGTGTTTCCTATAAAAATTAAAGTCACTTTATTTTATTTTCACTCTTTGAATTTATTCCTTACTTTTAACTAGCAAAATAATGGCATAATTTGTATTTAATAACGATCTAAATACCTAATATCCTTAACCTTTTTTTTAACACTTTCTTGTCTTTTTAATTAAAGATGATGCCATTGGTTTCTTATAAAATTCTAAGCTCGAACTCCATGATCCTGAGATGAACTAGTTTGAGGGTCTGATGACATTAAAGTTACTATATTTCAGCTAAATTCAGTTATTAATTTAATTAGGTTACAAATTGGCACCAACGCCAAATTGTAACGTTATATAATCAAAAATAAAACGTTACACATTCTAGTACTAACCCTGAGTAAATTCGTGGTCTGTTCAGGGTGAGTGTGCTTGTCTGCTATCTGTATATATTAGCATGTTTCTTTTAGTGATATTGTTCCTGGTAATTTCTTTTGTTGCTTTGAGAATCCCCGTGAGCTCTCTTCGAACTACACTGGCACCATTGCTCACAGTCTGTTTTATGTTTACGTTTAAAGATCTAGAGTATATTTCACATCCTGAGATATGAATCGTACCTGCCACTTCCGGCTCTTCCATTTGTTCTGTTATAACTTTATATGGCTTACGGAAGACTATTATTAAGGAACATTCCTTCTTTTATTAAATAATAAATTACTTATAAATAATAAAAAGTGAACTGAACTTCATTCACACTTCATTAGAATTGAGATCTTAGGTATTTGTGAATTTTTACGGCATGTATCCTTTCTATTAAATACTTATCTAGGAGATTTTGACATGGTACGCCCTATACCCAGTCTATTCCAAGGATTCCAGTAGCTGTCTGTGACAAACAGTATCAATGCCCATAGCAAGGACCAACAGGGGACATATTATGGTTTCTTTGTTAGATATCTATTATATTAGGAATATCATTAGTTACATCATATAAAGTATACAGTTGGTGTCTCAGTGTGTCTGGCCTTGTGTACCTTGAGAAAGTTTTCAGTCAGATCTGCGTAGCGCCGCATGCGGCAAAGAATGTCTCATTGTTAACTGGTCATTTAAGATTAACTTCTGTAAAATATTGTTAAATTCCTAGTCTTCCAATAAAGTTCCAGATTATTTGTTAGTTGAAAATTAAAACTTTGATTAAAATAAAAAAAAATATCCAATTTTGTTTATTAATTAATTTTGTTAATGTAATTCATAGAATAAACATCAGATACTACTGATACTGATTGGAACGTTTTAGGGCGAGTTTTTCAATCACAGTTTTAACTTTACTTCACCTGAACTTTAATTAAATATAGAACTGAGATTAACATCAATCATGTCAGTATCACAGTTTAGGTGATCTAAGTTTAATGTATATTGGTAATTCTGAATCGAGGGACTTCTGACAAAAATTAATGCTCTATGTCAGTTTGACGTTTTTAAGAAACATATTAAGAGCGAAGATGAAAAATTGTACGAAATGGTAAAAAATTGACAGACCGCCAATTTTTCTAGCATCGAAAAAGAATTTTTGTTGTTAAATATTGCTTGCTGTACTCTTATGTTCTCTATAGAAGTAGCCGGTGGTAACTATGAAAGATTTTGTTAGGTTATTATCAATTTTGTTATCTATAAGTCAGAATTACATTCAGTAAATGGGCAGTAATGTCACCATCGTCTTCACACATTACTTCAAACATAAAATATACACAAGATTGTAAAATACACTTATATTATGCCAATGTCTCAACATTGATCTTAGTTTAAACGCCCAACTTTGATAGTTTAAATTAAGTTCAAGCGTAATCTACATTTCAAATACAACATCTTTTATTTGAACGCAGTTCATTTGCTAAACTCAGTTTAAACTTTGATTGAAAAACTAGCCCTTGAATACAAACCGCAAATAATATATGCCCTGTATAGTTTAAATTGTCGCCGTAAACGAAAAGTCTAGTAGTTAAAGACGACACGTTCGTTGGCTTGGAAACATCTCATGTGACAGTTCTAATAAACAGTATAACGGTGAAATAAAATGACAAACTGAAACTTGGAAAAAAACTTCTGAACAATCCATTAATGTCAAATCAAATCTAGGTTTTTAAAAACTTCATCTTTCCGACTCGTTAGGCGTTACTTGTAGTTACCCTCACGTTAAGGTGAAATAGTCCACATAGCAAATATGGATTTTTCACCAAATGTCTTAGTGTTAATTGATTGTTTTTTTATTTATATTAACCACTAAAGGTATTAGCGAGGTATAGCTAGATATTAAATTTGTTAGGAATTAAATTACAGTTTGATAAATCGTCGGCTTAATATTGAAAGGTTCTATAAGCATATTTTGTATTTTTGGGAAAAGCGCTTTATAGATCTTAGGTGTCAGAAAAATCAAACTTTTCATATTGTTTTTCGGTAAAATTTGTAAAATTCCTGTCAATATTCTTTCCTAATTTGATAAATATTATTGAAAAAGCATGTTTTTTTATTAAAAAAAAAAACATACAACTTTGTTGTTCCATGAAAATGCATTTTTTAAGTTTGCATTCACTTATTTTTTCCTCTCTAAGGAAAATAAGTAGAGAGGTGAGTTTGACATAAAAGTTTTTAAACACATATAAATATTTTTTTTTCATGTAACGTAAACAAATAAAAGCATCTAACAATACAAACAAATATACAAATTCTACAACCCCAACAATAATCAATTGGAAGCTAATAATTTATTTATTTTTTGAATTGCCTTTGTTTACAACTGATGTAGATATGAAGAGAAGTACAGACTAAGAATAACTTCCATGGCTCTCGTTCGTGTGGTTTTCTTGGCTCCTGGACCCAAATATTGTGCAAACATTTTATTGTTTTGGAATCCTTTATACAATTTGTATTCTTTTTAAAGAACCATAAAAGCCTAAATTCCCTCCCTCAGAATGACAACATCAACGTTTATCGATATAGAAATAGATATAGATAAAAGATAATTCCCTGTTAAATATTACCTTTGAATCAATAATTATGGAGAAGCTCACCAGATTGATTATATTACTAACGTATGATTTTTCGACATGGTTAGATCGTTTATTAAATGTTATAAAATTATAAAATATAACTGAAGTCTAATTTTTACCAGTTATACTAATTTATTAATAACTACATTAATAACTACATAAATTATTTTAAAGCGTTAGAAGTTAAAACAAAAATGGCTTCAACTACTAACGAAGTAAATGATTATTTGAACTCTGCTTGTTTAAATAAATAAATCACATGAATATAAGAAGTGCAAAGAAAAATTCACTATTGGTACAATTGGAAAAAATACAACATGAATTTGATCTAATTGTATTGTCTGAGACGAGACAAATTGAAGATATATCTTTATTTAATATAGAATGATATCAACTGGTATATAATTTTGGTAATTTTAATCTAAATGATGGAGTCCCGGTCTATATTAAAAAAAAAAATATTAATTTTTCTGAAAAAATAATCCATTTTCCAAATAATATAAATAATACCGAAATTAATCTAAAATTTATTGATAAACTTATTACCATCTCAGCTTTATATAGATCTCCAAATTCGTCAGAATGCGATTTTTTCGATAATCTTGATGATTTTCTAAATAAATTTGAACATAAAGTAAGTGCTTATCTAATTTTAGGAGATAGTAACATAGATTTGAAATCAGATTCAAATGTAAAAAATATTTATTTAAATTTAACAAGGGCATATATATTTCATATATAAATGAATACACAAGAGTAACTCAAAAACATGTTTAGATTACTGTCTCATTGCTGATGCATCTAACTCCTTTGACTATAACCCTTTTGTTATGCATTTAGATATAACTGATAATTTTTCTACAATAATTCAAATAATCTCACAAGCTAAGATAATCCAATTCAATAATTAAACCATAAAATATAAAATTTACGTAAATAAAAACAAATTAATTTACAATGCATCTAATGAAAAATGGCTAGACTTATATTCAATAAACAATGTTGACACTGCTACTGATAACTTAATATTAAAAATCAGAAAAATTATTGAAAATAGCTCCAATAAAATACCACTTAAACGAAATCAAGTAAAAAGAAATGCATGGATGACAAACGGTTTACTAAAAATCAGCTGATACAAAAAAAAAAAGATTTACAATAAAATGAAAAATAATCCTACTAAAGAGAACATAAATGAGTATAACAATCACAGAAACATATTTGGCAAATTGGTAGAAAACGCAAAAAGAATGTACTATGAAAAAGATTTGGAAATAAACAAGTCTGATTCTAGTAAACTATGGAGATCCATAAATAACTTAACAAATAAAAAAATATATAAAACTCAAAGTATAAGTGAAATAAAAACTGATAATGATCTAGTTACATCTGATAAAACAATAATTACTGATTCCTTCAACAAATACTTTACAAATGTTGGCTGATACGGCTGTAATATATCAAGACAAAAATTGGCAAGATCTAAAAAATCTAGTAGAAATAGATTTCGCAAATATAATTAAATTATTTGATCAAAAAGGACTTACAATCAATACAGATAAAACTCACTTCAGGGCATTCGCTTCATATTCCAGTTATTTGCCCCAATATACTACATTGTCAATAGATTTGGATGGAGAAAGGGTGGATATTAGATCTGTTTCGAAAATAAAATACTTAGAATTAATACTAGATTCACACCTAAAATGGGATATCCACATCGAATATTTACTAAAGAAATTAAGAACAGTCAAATAAATTAAAATATCTTACTAAGTATAACGATACAGAGCAACTAAAAATAATATATTACTCACTATTTCAAAGCCATTTATCTTATGGAATTTTTGCCTGGGGAGGTACATATAAGGTACTGTAATGAAGTCAATTTTCATTACTATATTTCGGCCTATTCCGGATATAAATTTCAATTTTTATTTTTTTATTTTATTTTAACTTCATGGGTAGACCCTGTATATAAAATTTTGTTTAATTTAAATTCGCGTATTTTACCTGAGTAACGAAAGCGCGCGCGCTTCGCGCACATCAAGTGGGGAGCTAGCCTGCTTGGGCATAGAGACTGGAATTCAGAATTCGGTATAAAAATTCATTCAATTCACGTTACCGATTCGACTAGCTTCTCCTGTTTCTGCTCCGATATACACCGCTGAAAATTATCGCCAATACCGTAGTTAGGTACATCGAATTTGTTTACATATTTTTTTGTCGACGGTTCTTGAGTTAAAAACGTTCGAATACCGGTTTCATTTGAAATAATTATTCCGTTTTCGATTTTATTTAAGAGAAATAATAATTGATTTCAGATTTTCGTTAAAAATATTTTGATTTACAGATAAATTATTTAGTTTTGATTTTATTTAGAAACATTGAAAATTAGTTTTTTTTTTTTTTTTGGTTACTAGGAAATAGAAACTTTGTTTCTATTTTAATAATTAATTAATTTTATTACGACCGTGAAGTGTGTTTCTATTTTACAGTAATAATAAACCTAATTTCAAATTAAATTCCATATACAGTTGATTAGTTAATTTTCATTGCGACCGTGGATTTTGTTCCTAATTTTTTTTAAGTAATAATAAATTTAAATTAAATTCCGTACATAGTTAATTACTAAACTTTTACTACGACCGTAAATTTTGTTTCTATTTATTCACAATCTGGTTTAACTTTTTTATTTATATTTCTTTACTTGGGAATAGGATTAGTTCGAAAGTTGGAAAGTTGAAATAGTATCATTTTTCATGTCGAGTGGACTGGTTGTGGCGAGAAAGCTCACATGGGATTAGATACTATCCCGGTTTTAGATTTTATTTAAATTAACCCCTATCCGTGATTAACATATTAGTGTTTTTCTTATGTTTGAGAGTGCTGGTTGTGGCGAGTACACTC